AGTTTCATTCTCTTACATATAGCTGTCCAGTTTTGCCAACACCAGTTGTTAAAGAGGCTGTCATTTCCCCATTGTATATCCATGGCTCCTTTATAGTATATTAATTGACCATATATGCTTGGGTTTATATCTGGACTCTATTCTGTTCCATTGGTCTATGGGTCTGTTCTTATGCCAGTACCAAATTGTCTTGATTACTATGACATTGAGGTAGAGTTTGAAGTTGGGGAGCATAATGCCCCTGCTTTATTCTTCCTTCTCAGGATTGCCTTGGCTATTCGGGGTCCTTTGTGGTTCCATATGAATTTTAGAACTATTTGCTCTAGTTCATTGAAGGATGCTGTCAGTATTTTCATAGGGATTGCATTGAATCTGTACATTGCTTTAGGCAGGATGGCCATTTTGACTATATTAATTCTTCCTACCCAAGTGCATGGGATGAATTTCCATTTGTTAGTGTCCTCTTTAATTTCTCTCAAGAGTGTCTTACAGTTTTCATGGTATAGATCTTTCACATCTCTTTTTGATGCAATTGTGAATGGAATTCTTTTCTTCATTCCTCTTATGGCTGGTTCATTGTTAGTGTATAGGAATGCAACAGATTTCTGTGTATTAATATTTTATATCCTGCAACTTTGCTGAATTCAGATACTAGATCTAGTAGTTTTGGAGTGGATTCTTAAGGGTTTTTTACATACAGTATCATGTCATCTGCAAAAAGGGACAGTTTAACTTCTTCCTTACCAGTCTGGATGGCTTTTATTTCTTTGTGTTGTCTGATTGCCATGGCTAGGATCTCCAGAACTGTGTTGAATAAAAGTGGGGAGTCTGGGCATCCTCATCTTGTTCCCAACCTTAAAGGAAAAGCTTTCAGCTTCTCGCTGTTAAGTATGATGTTGACTGTGGGTTTGTCATATATGGCCTTTATTATGTTGAGGTACTTGCCATCTATACCCATTTTGTTGAGAGTTTTTATCATGAATAGGTATTGAATTTTGTCGAATGCTCCTTCAGCATCTATGGAGATGATCCTGTGGTTTTTGTCCTTCTTGTTATTGATATAGCAGATGATGTTGATGGATTTTTGAATGTTGTACCATCCTTGCATCCCTGGGATGAATCCCACTTGATCATCATGGATGATCTCTTTGATATATTTTCAAATTGTTTGCTAATATTTTGTTGAGTATTGTTGCATCTATGTTCATCAGAGATATAGGCCTGCAATTTTCTTATTTTGTCATGTCTTTGCCTGGTTTTGATATTGGAGGGATGCTGGCTTCATAGAATGCGTTTGGAAGTATTCCCTCCTCTTCTAATTTTTGGAAAATTGTAAAGAGAATGGGTATTATGTCCTTTCCAAATGTCTGATAAAATTCATCTGTGAATCCATCTGGCCCAGGAATTTTGTTCTTAGGTAGGTTTTTGATTACCGGTTCGGTCTGTTCAGATTTTCTGTTTCTTCCTGGGTCAGTCTTGGAAGGCTGTACTTTTCTACAAAGTTGTCCATTTCTTCTAGGTTATCCAGTTTGTCAGCATGTAATTTTTCTTTATATTCTATAGTAATTCTTTGTATTTCTGTGGTGTCCATAGTGATTTTTTCCTTTCTCATTTCTGATTCTGTTTATGTGTTTAGATTCTTTTTTTCTTGATAACTCTGGCTAGGGGTTTATCTATTTTGTTTTTCTCAAAGAACCAGCTCTCGGTTTCATTAATTTTTTCTGTTGTTTTATTTGTCTCAAATTTACTTATTTCTTACCTGATCTTTATGATGTCCCTCCTTCTACTGACTTTGGGCCTCACTTGTTCTTCTGTTTCCAGTTTCAATAATTGTGAATTTAGACTATTCATTTGGGGTTGTTCTTCCTTCTTTAATTTTTTAAATTTCCTGGATTGCTATATACTTTCCTCTTAGACCTGCCTTCGCTGTATCCCACAGAAGTTGGGGCGTTGTTCTGTTGATTTCATTTTTCTCCATATATTGCTTGATCTCTGTTTTAATTTGGTCATTGATCCATTGATTATTTAGGAGCATGTTGTTAAGCCTCCATGTGTTTGTGAGCCTTTTTTTTTTCCTTGTACAATTATTTCTAGCTTGATACCTTTGTGATCTGAGAAGTTGGTTTGTACAATTTCAATCTTTTTGAATTTGCTGAGGCTCTTTTTTTGGCCTAATATGTGGTCTATTCTAGAAAATGTTCCAGGTGCCCCTGAGAAGAATGTGTATCCTACTGCTTTTGGGTGGAGTGTTCTATAGATGTTTCTTAGGTCCATCTGTTCTAATGTGTTGTTCAGTGGCTCTGTCTCCTTACTTATTTTCTGTCTGGTTGATCTCTCCTTTGGAGCGAGTGGAGTGTTGAAGTCTCCTAAAATGAATTCATTGCATTCTATTTCCTCCTTTAATTCTGTTAGTATTTGTTTCACATATGTAGGTGCTCATATTTTGGGTGCATAGGTATTTATAATGGTTATATCCTCTTGTTGGACTCACCCCTTTATTACTGTGTAATGTCCTTCTTTGTCTCTTGTCACTTTCTTGGTTTTGAAGTCTATTTTGTCTGATACAAGTACTGCAACACCTGCTTTTTTTCTCCCTATTGTTTGCACGAAATATCTTTTTCCATCCCTTCACTTTCAGTCTGTGCATGTCTTTGGGTTTGAAGTGAGTCTCTTGTAGGCAGCATATAGATGGGTCTTGCTTTTCTATCCATTCTGTAACTCTGTGTCTTTTGATTGGTGCATTCAGTCCATTTACATTTAGGGTGATTATCAATAGATATGTACACAAATGTTTTTTTACTATGTTTGAAGATAACATTTTATGTTAGAAAAATTTGAAAGGAGTAAATTAGTGCATTTAAGTGAAAAAACATTTTTGGTCAATAAAATGAAAGGAGGTACAGATGAGATAGGAAGAAACCACTATAAACATTCTCAAGTCCCAGGACCACAAATTTTAACTGAGCTCAGGATATAGTTAGAATCAGAGGAGGAGAAGCAAGAGGGAACGAAGTTTCGTGTAAACCTTGAAGGTGAAATAACTAAGCAGGATCAAGGTAAAATAACTAAGTCTTTATGAACTCAAATTGCATATTTCTGTTATTATTAGAAGAAAGCATAGCCTGGGAGAGGGCGGCATGCCTCTCTTGGTGACTAGTGATTTGAAGAGAGTGCTTAGTCGTTATGGCAGTCTGCTGTGTTAACTGCTCTTCTTTGCCTCTTGCTTCTGCCAAAGATTGTCATTTTATCCAGAGTTGGTTGAATGAGAATATTTAGGCAATCTTGGACACACAATTTGTAATATTTTGTTATTCCACACACTGTTGTAATAGGCATGCTGCATACAAAGTTCTAATCAATCTTATTTTTTCCCATTGGACTAATTTCCAGAAGCTAGTCTAACAGATTATCTTCCCTTTACATATTGCCGAATTCTTCTGCATGTTCTTCTTTTTATGACCAACTCCTAAAAGTTTCTACATAATTTATTTTCCCCAAGCAGGGCATAAGTCATAAGAACGTTACAAGAAAGGCAACTTACAGGTTAACCCCATGATTAAAATGGGAGCAAGAATACATGTTAGAAAATAGAATCTGGTAACATATAAAAGTTAATACATCATGACTAAAAGGGTCATTTTCCAGGAGGTAGGTATGGTTTAGCATTGGAAAAGACTATTAGCATATTTGTTAACATTCACAAAAGTAGAAAAATCATATAATAATCTCAGTAAGTGCAGAAAAACAATCTTTGAAACTAAGGACTAGGAGAAAATTATTTATTCTGATCAAGATTACATGAAAAACTCTACAGCAAACATCATAACTAATGGTGAATTACTGAAAGCATTCTTCTTGAGACTTGGAATGGTGGGTTTTGTACAAGGATGGCCATTACTCCCACTTTTGTTCCACAGCATACTGGTAATCTTAGCTACAGAAATAAAGCCAAAAAGTTAATGAAATCAAAAAGGAAGGAATTAAAATGTCTTTATTCATAACTGACATAATTATGTGCATATACAATTCAGAAGAACCTGCACGCTCTTAGAATACATAAATGAATTTAGCAAAGTCACAAGATACAGGGTCAATACACAAAGACGAGTCATTTTTCTATACATTTGCAACCAGCAAATGTTTTGGAAAAAAGTAAGACCAC